TTCGGTAGGCGTACGCGAAGCCCAGTTGGGTTATGTTTGGGTCATGGCAGTTGTGGCAGCCGATTAACGTGTTGTTTGTGTAGTAGAGTGCAGATTTGAGGAACCACTTGCCTCCGGCTATTATGGCGTAGTCGAGGTTATCGACTTGGCGGGCCCAGATGGGGTCGGGCTTGTCGAGGTGGAGCTGGGTAAGGCCAGTCGAGACCCCGTTGTCGTCCTCGAAGGTGATTGCTTTAGTGAGGTAAGGGGACCAGACGAGGGAGACAGTAAGGTCGTGAGAAGGGAAAGACCATTTTCGGTTTTTGTAGGGCTCGTCATGGTAGATGTCCACAGCTCGTTCAACCTGCAAAATAATTTGTTACGCGATCAATACATGAAAAATAGTATTTTCAGAGAAAAAAAGAAAAAAAAAAAGAAAAAAAGAAAAAAAAAAACACTCGAGTTGAACTTGCCGGTTGCCCTTGTAGAACAAAAAGGGTTTTGTAAATTTGAATATTAATGGGGTCTTTTCCTAATGGTTTCGGTTCCTATGATGCTAGCTTGGTAAAACTTATTTCAGTGTTTCATGAGTAAAAATGCAACAATGTTAAAATAATGGATTACATAAAGATTACATTTGAACATATATATAGATATTATCGCAACTTTTGAAGACTTTTTCAGTCCCATAAAGTTTGGAAATGGGTTTCTTGCAGGACACTGGAAACAAAAAATCTGTCATTAGTCAAAGTTTACAACAGTGACCAAGACACAGCTACTCAAGATCAAGCAAATTAACGTGTTAGTTTAAATGTCATTTGGATTAGGTATGATAATATATCCCGATAGAGACCGGGAAACCACTACAAAACCACACAACAAATCTATGCAGCTCGGAATTAGACATGATAATGTACATATATAATCGCCACAACCAACAGAAATGCAAAACACACAGCTACATAAAATTCTTTGGAATATACGAAGAAAAGGAAACTAATCGTGAAATCAAATGTAAATAATCTCTTACTACACATCATTTTACATGCAACAGCTACAATGGAATCACAGGACATTTGGAGCATCACCGTAATTCACGAACAATGAATATATATTACCAGCAGATGTACAATTGTTGTTGTCTACCATTCATATTTCTAAAACTGAAACTACCAAACTGCAAACTAATTTGAGTGTAGAAGCCTAAATTAGGAGACGAACAAGAAAAGCGAACTACACATGCACCGGTTTTTAGACTCTGATTCATATTCTGTAGAATATGAAGCTAAAGTTGACAATTAAAAGCTCAAGAAACTAATCTCTTTTTCTCCCCCACTGAAAAGCTGGCATTCGTTTCTTTCAAGTGATTGACAAAAAATGCTGATAACAACTAGACCACTTAAAGAATTCTCAAAATATTGAAACATCAATAAACTTCTAATACTGAAAAAAATCACCTCCGAGAGCATGCAGAGCAAGGACTGCACGTGATTGCGCATAATCGAATCGCCAATAAACGCGAGCGACTTATGCCGCATCATATTGAGAAACTTCTTAGGATCGAATTTGGGCAGATCACAGTCCCTCGGTTTCCACTTCCAGTAGACGTAATCGAAATCCGGCCGCCCATTGGTCATGCAGTTTTGGGGGTCTTCAATAGTTTGGCAAGTGGAGTTTGTGTACCGTGGACCATCCGGGTCGGGCACCCAATCTCCTACAAACAAATTGCACTTCCCTGCAGTTGCAAGAGTCGAGAAATCGCGGTAAAAAAGTAAATCACATAAATGTAGAATTCAGAAGACACTGTAAGAATTCATTATATTCTAACATATTATGAACAGGACAGCTACTGTATACATGTAAAAGTTCACTAATTACTGACTACTTCAGATACTCAATTGCATATAGATTATGCCCTTCAAAATATCCATGAATATTATTAGTTTACAGGAAATATTAAGCAATTAACAAGGAAAGAAGTGATTTTTCAGTGTTCTTCTTCTTCATTCACTAAAAAATGTTCAGAATTAGAAGAAAAGAAAAGGACAAAGAAATCAGCTTACCGTTGTCTGAATTCCGGATATCATCGGGATTTACGAAAAGATCACTAGCGGGAGGCTGCTCCGACGAAAGATCAGCCGCCGCCGCCGCTTGGGGCGGCGAGGTATTGTCAAAACCCATTTCATCATCGTCGGCCACAATAACGGGGGAAAATTGAACCAAACTGGACGAAAACAAGCGATAGGCGAGCCCCAAGAACAGAACACATATCCCAAATTTCACAATAATTGAGGAAAATGTGCTCTTATGAACACTGCCATGAAATTGTTTCATCCTCTCTGTGTCGGTGACACCTTAAATATTCATACAAAATTTACACATAATTATAGAAAATATTAAGGTAACTGATCAAAAGGAAGAGAGAAAATGGGTATAAAAATGAAATGATGGTCCTCTCCTCTCTCATACGATGGATCCAAGAAAAGGTTTTTCAAGAAAATTGATTACAGCGAGCTTTACTCGGCAACTACCCCAACGAGAATATAATAATGGGAAATGTTACGGTTCCATTACTGTACCATCCGTCGGGTATTTTAACCGTTGGATACACATATAGTTGGTTAAGATAGATGATCGAACGGTTAAAACACCCGACTGAATGGTACAGGGAACATAACATTTGCCATTAATAATAATAATTTAGGTTTAAATGATGCGAAGATGAAACAAAAATGTGGGTTGTCTTTTTGTTAGGCAAATTCATTTTGTTACATTATTGATGTTTAATGCTCCCACCAGAATTTGGATGCATATATATAACATTTGGAAATGTTACAGTCCCATTACAACATTATTATATTGGGATTTTTAACTATTAGTTCATCATGTAATCGTTGAAAATAGTTGATCTAGTCGTTACAAAATCCCTCAACGAAATGGTTCCGTAACGAAACCGTAACTTCATATAATATATATTATACGTGCATAAATTACGTTGTGGGGTCTTAACATTGTTTACTTAAAATAATAATTATTATTATTTTTTTTATTTTTTTTGTGGTGTGTGATTACAATCTTATCGTTGGACATGTTGGATTTGTGTTTATGTTAGATTTGTGCATATATGAAAAGAATCTTCAAACATAATCGTGACCTCAGGTAAGCTGTTAACAACTTCATCACCAAACAAATATCTGCCGACAAGCATCGTATGACTAAATTAAATCACTAAATTATCAAGAATGCTTTGGATTTAAGTTTTCGGAGTGACAAGTCTTCGGCTAATGCTATGAATGGTGTAATTATTCATGACTTAACAAAAATAATGTTTAATTATAAATTGAATCTCAAGTTTTAAGTCGTTTTCAATTTAATTGCATTATTTCAACTAGTAATCACCCGTGCCGTACGGTAAAATTATAATCTATGTGCTTTTTAGAGACAATTTTATATATAAATTGGGTAATAATGCAATGATCATAAGATTAGACATATAAACATATAATTAAATTGAATTAAATTATATATTATTGAACACTTCTTTATATACAACATTATTGGTTTGATTCTTTGGCATATCATCTTACCCACAAATAAAGATTTTCAAACTAGTGACATAGGAGTCAACAATATATAACTGGTCATGACTGAACACTGGTTTCTTAAGATATAAGTCAACATGAGATAATAATTGTACATGTGTCTTGTTTATAGTCAGGACCATATCTATATATAAATAATTACTGGCTCATGAACATTTAATAAAACCTATTAAATTATACTTAGGTGGCAATATAATTTTTTCCCTCCAAAAACCGTTACTTTTTATTTATTTAACCTGTCATTTAATTCACACTAATCACTTCAAAATTACAAATATTATTTTAAATTTTTTATTTATTTACAGCTGACCATATAATATGTTGACTATTTTACGTGATTAGATGTTATTGTTGTGGTTACATTTAAATTAATTTTTTTTGAAAAATAAAAAACGTATTTGAAATTCCTAAATAAATAATAAATAATTCACAAAAAAAGGTACTTACCAAAATATACATTGCATCCAATATGATAAATGCATTTACAAAATAAATATTTTAGCTCCTTTAATTGTAAATTTGACACAAATCAGTAATCATTATATGCATTTAGGGCTGAGCATGGGACTCGGAGAATTCCGAACCGTCCCGAAAACCGAACCGAAATCACTCCGAACCGAAAAATATCCGTTGACCATTTGACTTTCTCCGAAC